ATCATCGGTGGGTTTGGGAAACTGGTGATTCGAAAAAGGGGAGTGGAAAAGGGGGGGGGGTGTGCATGAAGGTTTGTGAGACTCATTTAAAGGGTTTGGTTTTGTGGACGTTGGGGGGGTTCATTTAGGCCTGGTATTTTTCGGGCGAAAATATGCAGCGCGACTAACGGGTTTTTACGTAATGCGGGGTATAGAGGCAAGGGACTGAAAACGGTTGATTAGGTTTCTCAGATCATGGGGGGGAAATAGTGACTTAAAGGGGGAGGGAGTGGCGAGTTCTGTGGTTTTTGGGAAGTTGAAAAAGGGATTGTTTAGGGGTAAAAGGGGGGGGTGTAGGGTTCGAAGAATGGTGGGGTAGGGTCACTGAGGGTAGGGATAGGGTACTGCAGCTCGTTGACTGGTGGGAGTCGAAAGCAAAGCCTTGTATTGCGACCTATTTCCGAGGCAGGGGGAGGGGGGAAAAGCGAGGTGGGCATTACGGCTTACGAAATTATTTGGAATCACAGCTGAAGGATTGCATGACAGGGGATGTGGGGGGGGGGGTGAGGCGGGGAATTTTATAAGGATAGACTTGTGGACATCCGCAATGAACGGTTTAATGGAATACATTATTGTTCAGGATTGGAGGACGTTCTATGGGGCGACAAGCCGTCTGGTTTTGTGTTACGGAAGTTCGGAGAGCGTCGTGCTGTGACTACCATGTTGCGATTAGTGGCAAGCTCCAGGGTTGGGGGATACCAGGATGGTACGGTTTTTGCCACAACAGAAAGCATGAGCTCTTATGCTGATGCTTGGTTTTGGGAAAAATGGAGGGGTCGGGTGGGTATAGGGTCGCATGATTTGGTGGGGGAGGGTCATAATGTACTGGGGACGAAACTTAGCGAGAGGTTGGAGGAGGATATACGTGAGGAGGAGGTAGCGGAGGCGATTTTTGGGATGCCGACTGGCAAGACGCTGGGCATTGATGGTTTACCAATAGAATTTTATAGGACGCATTGGGGTTGCATTAGGCATTTATTTGTCGAGGTTCTAAATATGATGTTGGCAGGTGGGAGGATGGGTCAGTCCCAACGAACGGGTGTTGTAGTGTTGGTTCCTAAGAAGGGTGGCGGGTTTGGCCTGAGTTCTTACAGGGCAATTCTTTAATGTGTGTAGATTATAATTTTTGCGAGGATATTGGGCAATCGTTTGAAGGGGGCCCTGGGGTCGGTATTACATGTGGGACAGTATGGAATCCCTGGGAGAAGTATGAGAGAGGGGCATGGACGTATCAAAGATTCCTGGAGGGGGTGGGGGAGGTGTTCTTGGTTTGGACTGAGAAAATGCGTATGATTGTGTGGATAGGGGGTTTTTGCATGAGAGTTAGGCTTGGGTTTTGGTGCGAAAGTGGTGGGTTGGGTAGAAACATTTTATGCCGGGGCAATAATGAGGGTTCAGGTGAATGGACGAATGGGGAGCAATATATGCATGGAACGAGGTTTGAGGCAGGGATGCCCGCTTTCCCAAATCTTATTCGTATGTGTCCAAAATCCGTTTTATGAGGAGGAGGAGGAGGAGGTGTGATATTCAGTCAGGGGGGGGTGTACAGTGGGGTACGTGTATGATACGACTGTTTTGATTAGTGCATGGGAGGATTTCATCTACGTGGGCGAGGTTATCGAAAAGTTTGGGGTCGCAACAGGTATGAGGGTTAACAGGTGTAAGTCGATGTTGCTAGAGGTGGGGAGCTGGGTGGTAGGGAGAATGGGCAAGGGGTTTGGATGGACATGTGTGGATAGGATTAGGATTTGTGGGATTACATATTTAGCGGACAAACAGGCAATTTAAGGGGGTTAATTGGGTGGTGGTACAGGACAAGGGTGGGTAGATTACGTGGACTACGAGCTGGGGATTCCCTCGTTGCACCAACGGGTGATGATGGGTGAATTCGCTTGTGTATAGTAAAGTCTGGGAGTGGTAGCTGTTTACCCTTTGAGGGCCTGGGACGTAACGGAGATACAGAGGAGGGCGTTGAGGTATGTGTGGGGATTGGACGGGCATGTTGGGGACGTGAAGTGGTAATGTCTGGAGTACAGCGGGGGATTTAGGTTTGCTGCTTTGGGACCTAGGTGAGAGCAATATATGTACGGGCATGTTACTTGGACTAGGGGGGACTGGAGGATGTAGGAGGGGGAGGTTGGAAGAGAAGTCCGATGTTGGTGGCGTGGAAAGGAACTAGAGGCGTGTGAAGACGTGCTGCAATTCATGTTAAAAGTGAGGGATGTCAGTGATATGCGTGTAGAAAGGCTGGTGAATGTAGGATTTCGGCAGGAAGCATTGTCAAGGGTGGAGATTTATCCCATGTATAATTGGAAGGTAATTTGGGAGGAATTCCGGTGGCTTCGTATACCAGCCAAGGCGCGGGAGGTGGTGTATAGATTTATGATGGGGATCCTGGCGTCTAAGGATGCAACCTGCGTGCATTGTGGTGAGGAAGAAACGGCTTTTCATGCAGTGTATTTTTGTCTATCCCTAGAAGAGGTAAGGTTGTGGATGCGAGGTGTTTTCGGGATGTTGGGAGGGGGAAGGGTGGCTATGTTAAGGGCGTTACTCCTTGACGTGGATGGGGTGACACAGGATGTGACACGAGCGTTAAGATATATCTTCGTGGAGTATTTGTACATGTCCTGGGGAATACGTGAGGTACAGGGCACTGGTAGGATCAGGGCGTTGGCTGCACGTTTTTACAGAACAATGTGAAGAAACAGAAGTGTCTATGGTAGCAGGTGGATTGCGTTTTTTCCTAAAGAGTATCGCGATATGACGGTGGCAAAACTTCGCGGATTAATTGGAACAGGACGGTAATGGGCTGGTGGACAGCGATGATCTGGCGTGAAAGTGGACTGAGCAGTAGTATGAAAAAGGTGGAAACAGGGGGGGGGGAGAGGGTTGGTTCTGGTATGTTATTGGTGTGGATGAGCAATGGCTCCGCCAGTTGCTATAGTTGCAACGTTGGCTGTTTTGTTAATCTAAATTGCATTAATCGACATGTCTGCTTTTGTATGATTAGTTTTCCATTATAGTGTTATGGAGTCTCTATTGAACAGTATGCTTTACATATAATGTGTTCCATTTAACGTATTTTGCTTATGCTTGTTGTCCTGTACACCTGGGGATACCTGGGTTTTGTAGAGGACTCTGTTATCACGTGTTAATCAACCTTTGCATTATGTAAGGATTTCTCGCGGTTGTCACTGTTTTATGTTATGTATAACAAAACACTGATTTATATGCACTATAACTTGATGGAGTTATTCCCTTATATATATGAGACCTAAAACAGAGCTGTATTGGTCATTTTATGTTAGGGTGTTTTTGAATCATGACGAACATTGCAAGTCATTGTTTTGCGCCAAAATTTATTAAATTAGGTATAATTACGCTTTCTTAGTGTAAATTAAAAAAGCAATTATGGGGGGAAAAGGGGGATAGGGTTAAAAGGGGGTGGGGCCCTTGGACACTAAATCGGGGGCATGATATTTAATTTTGGTACTGGTTTAAAGTATCTGGTATTTGGTTTTTTTACCTGTTAAAAACGTTGGGGCTTTGGGGGCAAATTTAGCTATGTTTTAGCACAATGTAACATTGGGAAAATTTTTTTTTATAAAAAATTTAAAATGTTGGAAAAAGGGAGCTGGCAATTTTTTTTCACTACTTTTGAGTTTTTTTTTCATTAATTTTAATATGTTCTTTGGTTTAAATTGGTTTTTTTAAATTATAAGTTAAATAAACAATGGTTAAATGTTGTACTTTTGGTGAAATGGGGTAAAAGAGGGGGGGTTTTTACGCTTTTTTTTTTTTTTGGCGGCATTA